CTAAATATATAAAATAAACATTTTATTTATATAAAATATATAAATTGTATAACATTTAAATATTTCATATATTATATATAAGAATTAAATAATCAGTCAAATTTGGATACTTATAGAATCGAATCAGGTCATATCTCAATTTGAATCCGAGTATAAATAGGATATCCGAATTCAATTCGATTATGTCAAATCTAAATTTCAAAATCGAATTTTTGAATATCGTTGACACCCCTATTATTAAGTGCCTGTTTGCTGGATGATTATCCTTTTTTTATATTCTTAATAACACTTGAGAGGTACTTATTCACTTGTATTTAAAGTATAGGAATTGCTGCTAGTACAATAGATAGACACAAGTTTGAGTCCAGATMGCCTGCAAGCAAAAACACTGCTCATATAACATCCAATCACACATTAAGAATATCYTTCATACATTTATATTAAATTCATAGGGAGATATTCCCAATGTATGACTATGGATTCCCAGAGTGTATACAGAGTTTTCACTTGTAGGGAATCCTGTCTCAAAGAGTTTATCCTTCCATGTAGCTAAGTTGGCTTCAATCATAGTCTTTATTAATTACTCTTTATTCTTTGGGTGTGCATACATGGATTGCACCCAAATACTTGTCATTCTTGCTTAGGGGTTTCATCCCCATATATTTCAATAAAAATCTTCCTAATTTAAGATGAACATTCATATCAAAATAAATTCTTGATTTGGAGAAGTTTATTTGTTGACTTGAAAGCTTCTCAAATTCATGCAAGACCCTCCTAAGAATCCTTAGTTGATGTTTCTTTGCTTTGCATAACAGCATGCAATCATTTGCAAAAAAAAATAAAAAATAATAAAAAATAGATGCAACACCTTTGTTTTATTTTTCCTACTTCCAATGCTTCCAACTCCCCTTTTATTTATTGCTTATTCAATTAATGATGATAAAACTTGCATACCTAGAATAAACAAGTATGAGAAAGATGGGATTTCCCTATCTCACTCTACATAATTTAAAATGCTCCTGAACTTGGCCATTTATTTTAATGGCAAAAGTTGGAGTTCTAATGCAAATAATACACCATTTTTTGCACCACTCCTTCAAAAAAACCCATCTTTTTCATAATGTTCACTATGAAGTCCCAACTAACGTGGTCAAGAAACCATGCATTGACCCAACCGGCCGGCTACATAGTTAAAATTTTCAAACCATTTCCTGGTTAATGGTTCAAGCCACCAGACAACGTCAGTCTTGAATTGTTTATCCTAATTAATGTCTTAAACACCAAATATTTTGAAACTCTATGTGCCTGTTTGGAACCGTTGCTGTTACTCCAGAAAATGGTGTTACATCAGTATCATGTAGGAAAAAACGGTGCTTTAGRAAATAACCTTCTATTTGGAACCGTTTTTTCATAGAAAATGGTATTCTAAGCCGTGCCTTAGAAATCAGGAAGGCATGGCTTGGAGCAATGCCAAATTTGACGTTTTCTGGAGCTGCAGCTCGTTGCTGCCAACAGGACAGTGATGTAACAGTGGATAATGGGTAGAAGTGCAGAAAACTCTTCTTGGAGCATTGGTACCAAACAGAAAAAAGTTGTCATTGCTACAGAAAACGTCATACCTAACAGTAATGATTCCAAACAAAAAAAAAAGCACCATGCTCCAAGCCACATGTCAGCAGCACCATTTAAAAAACGGTGCTGCAACTGAGCATCTATGCCAAACATATACTATACTTATATCATCTCAATGAGTGATCATAGCTTTCAAAAAAATGAATGAGAAGGAACATGATTGAAATAATAAGAAATGATTTAAATTCCCATAATATAATGATGGACGTGACACTAAATTGTTAGAAGCATAATTTCCATGTGCTCCTTTAAAGCAATTTGTATCTTTGTACTATTTCTTTAATTAATAAAGAAGGACTTTTGTTTGAGGCATTATTGATATTGAATGCTTGTGCTCTTTATTATATAGTTGAGAGGTTACATTGTAAGGCATTCAAGTGGTGAGGGAGACCCATCATCATGAGAGATATGAATGACCCGGTTCTTTATAAATCTGGAAT